ACCAGCTAGTACTACTGTGAGAGGTTACATTTGGTTTCAGTGGCTTTTCTGGAGATTCTTTCAAAGTATTTGCCCATTTCACAATGGATCATTTACAAGTACACCAGCCCACAGTGCACTGAGTATTCAACAGTTTTTGACCCAAAACAGCATGACCTCCATGCCTCACCCTCCCTATTCACTTGATCTCACTCCAAACGACTTTTTTTATTGTTGTTTCCCCAGATTAAAACAAGTCCTCAAAGGGAAACATTTTGTCAATATGGAAGAGATGAAACAAAAAATGGCAGAAGTACTAAAAGACATCCAAATTGACAAGTTCAAAAACTATTTTGAACAGTGGAAAAAGCGTCTCAATAGGTGTATTGCATCAAACAGAGATTACTTTGAAGGAGACTGAAGTTTAAACATGTAAAAATAATTACACAACTTTTTAATAAATAAAACCCAGTTTTTTGGGGGGTCCTCCCCTTGTATATATAGTCTCAAAGACTTAAAGTTGTTGTGTCTTTGTCACTACTCGTATGGCTCCCAGGTTCTTGCAATTCCTCAATAATCTTACCATTCATCATCTCTTCTTTCCTGACCCTGATCTAATTTGAGACTTTGTTTTCTCACTTAACTACTAAAATCATTTTCTAATCATTCTCCTTGATCTTAGTCACTTTCCTGCCCCCACTCTATCCTACTCGGTTGCCAGGTGCTGTGGTCTGAATGGCTGTGTACTCCACCCCACTCTCACCAATTTCTCATGTTGAAACCTTATCCCCTCCCAATGGTGAGGCCTTTGGAAGGTGATTAGGTCATGAGGTTACAGCAAAAAAACAGCCGCCTATGAACCAGGATGTAGGTTCTCATCAGACACAAATCTGCACATGCCTTGATCTTGGACTTCCCACCTTCCAGAACTGTAAGAAATGGATTCCCAAAACTGTAAGAAATGGATGTTTAAAACCCACCCAGTTTATGATATGTTTGTTATAGCAGCCCAAACTGACTAAGACACTAGGTTAATCTTAAGGCATAGCTCCAATTAAGTCTTTCCATGCTCAGAATCTCCATTTGCTGAACTCCTGATTCATCACACAGTTTGGATTAGGAAATATTACCTCTTCCCTTGTATTACAGTCACTCTGCATACAGCTCTTTAATTCCCTGCCAGGCTCTAAAGGTCCATGAAGAAAGGACCTATGCTTGATAATCCATCTCAAATAGCATGCTTTTCACAGCATAGAAGTTTGACTGATATTTATTCAAGGACGAGCAGAATGAATGGATACCCTATCTCTAAAAGGCTGTCTTCTATGCACACATACAAGGTAGGCCCCCTTTTCTGCATTTCCATCTAACAAAATCTCATTCAACCACTGGTTAAATGGTGTGGCATCATTCTAAGAAGCTGAAAATTAAAGATAATGCAGGATCGAGGTTATCTCTTGGGGAAAAAAAAGAAATATGATTTGGGGAAATGCCAAGTTATGTCTTATTTCTTAAACTAGATAGTGGGTAGACAAATGTCATTATTCTTTATATCTCTTTAATCCACTACATCGGTTTGAATGTCTGAAGTAATAATCAAATGCATAATGTATAAGATAGTTACTTAAACATATATCTAAAAGACCTTCTCCTCTCAGTGAGATAGTTTCACATTTAATTATTCTGGTTTCATATATGTTAGTTTTATTTGCAAACCAGATTGCCAGAAAAAAAGTTTCATCATATTTTGAGATTGATCTTCACCGAGCAATGACTCATGAAACTAAAAACTTTCTCACCCCTCCCCAAATCTTGCTCAAGTAGCTAATGATATATCAAAGCAAACCTAAATGGATTATGATGCTCCCTAATTCAAAGAAATAAAGCTGTGAATCCTTTAATTTAATAATTCGCTCTAATTTATCTGGAGTTTTTTTTCCCCTTAAGGCAGAGATAGTATTCTATGGGTAAATGACATTTTCCCCCTAAACCATAAGTTGGTTTAGCAACAGGAAGCTTATTTATGAAGAACCTACTCTATATAACACACAGCTTGTTAGGACCATTTGACAGTAAAAAGGGGTTTGTATTTTGTTTAAGGACTTAATTAATTTTTTTTTAGCCAGAGTATAAAATGCTGTGTTTCAAAAATACTGAAGATAGAATATCTTTTCCTAAAAATGTTTCCAGGTGAATGCAAATTTAAACAAACAGGTTCTTTCCTTTTAAAAATAAAAATCGTCAAATCTACCTCCAGATAACTAAAATATACCAGTTACACATAAATACAATTGTATTGATTATAAATTAATTAAAAACTCAAAATACTCTTTGGTTTTGTTTTACTTTGATTTAAATTTCAAACAGAGAGCTAAGAATCAAGAACTAACAGACCACCAAAGTAAATGTGAGGCAGCATAGTCTGGAAAGCGTATTTCAAACATTTAGGAAAAACTTGATATTTCATGAGTCTGTGAAATTTCAAAAGCATTTCACAAGGAGCTGTTTTCAGCAGAGTCTGTTAGTCTGGTGAATATTGACATGCTATTATTGACAGCACCCGGAAAAGTGTCTTAGAAACATAAATAAGAATACTCAAAGGAAATATGCAAAGTAGAAGCCCGAAGTTTAAAGTAAAAATATAAGTGATAATGCTGATATGAAACCCTAGAAACAAGCGTTTGCCTATCATGCATTTGTACATGCCTAGGTTAATATTCAAACTCAGTTTGCTTTAGTTAGCTCTACTCTCTCCTTTAGGTTCAATGATCTGGACATAAAATTTATACTTTAGTATGGAAGACCTCATTAAACTCATTGAAATGTAAAAGATCCCATGGGGATTACAAAATACATCAACTTTCACTAGTTGTCAAGTTCAACTTTGTTAGGCAACCACTTCTTCGTTGACCAAGAGAAAGATAACTACACTGGAGCTTCCCTCAACATCATGGCTGTCTTCACACATGACCATGCACCCACAAACACGAACTACGACCCCTTCCAGACACCTAAAAAAGTGAAAACATACCCTGTTTCTTAATTTTAGGTGAAATAGAAACCTCTGGTCCTGTACTTGCAGCTCACGGAAGTCATAATTTTGGTCACCATGGAGACTGAGGATGCCAAATCAGAGAGCTCATTTCTCGGGAGTGAGCACACATGCAAACTTCACTCCAGCAGTATCAATGGCTGCACTTAAATTTAGCTTGGCCCACAGCCAAGCATAAGAACACTTCCTTTAACCAAGAGAGGTGGTGAATTCTGCCTTGGGCAAGGTGAGAAAAGCTAACAATGGGAACTGTTTATAACCACCTTTCCCTGCCCAATAAAAATCCTAAACTTTTCTCCTACTCCTACACCAGGAGGAGTCCCTAAGTAATACTCCCAGCCAGGGAAGAAGAGGTTACATAATGGAGCCTAGACCAGCCAAAATGCCAGGGGCATAACTGACCTGGACTAAAAGATTTTGAGCAGGTGGGGATGAGGGTCAGGGATGGCAAGCTTAATCTGAGATGGGCAGACAGATGAGGAAATCTGATAACATATTCACTACAGAAAAATAGGATTTTTCTTTTCCTTTAACACACAGAAGAAAAACAACAGAGCAGACGGCCTGCACATGTCAATTCACAACCAAGAGAGGCCTCATATTCCAGCTGATGGCTGCTCTGACCAGACACCACTGTGGATTCTCTGCCTCCACTATGCACACACCCAGTGCCAAGATCCTACTCAGAACAAATCCTCAGGGCGAGCCTCTTCCCTAATCCACACAAGTGGGCGCCTGAACAGAAAGGAAAAGGGTGAGTTTTCTCATGACAGGATGCCTGCAGTAGCACTTCTTACCTGCCCAGAGTGCCTGGAGCCTGGTCCCATTTCCTTCACCTATCCCAAACTCCCCTTCTCTTCAATTTTTAGCTTCTGCCAATCCTCTCAGTTCATTTTTAGCTGGATTTTCACCTCCACTCCACTTTCTTCTCCTGTCCTACTTATTATCCACCCCCTGTCATACATCATCAGAAACACAAAATGCACATATGGTGATTAGAATGTAAAGGGGCTACTGTATCACCCAATCCCCATCACCCACAATTAGGCAGAGAGAATGCCAGGTATACCAAAGTAGAAATATAGATGTATTCTTTTCTAAGTTCTCTTTTTAGCATTGTTACATAAACTTGTGTCTATACTGAGCTTACTTTATTCTCAGTAAAGTAAGCTTCTTTATATAGACAGGTTTCCTAATCCCACGTTTCTGCAGGAAAATAGGATGCAAGTTACAACATCCAAATAAAAGGCCATAGAGATGTGAGCTGAAGACTCCCCAGAAAGGAACAAACAGGTAAATTCTTGAACTGATTTCAAAAAATAAAGAATTATTAGTACATCTACTAAATGCTACAAACGTGTAATGTTTTGTACATATATAACCAGATAGAAAATAGATATACATATGAAATGTCTTTATGAAAAGGTTTCAATCAATTTCGATTTTTTTTCCCCCTACTTCAACATCCCCTAAAGAAAAATTTTGGACATCCAAAAATTAATTAAACAAACAAATAAATAAGAAGCTTTCAAAAATCATCAAATGCTTTTAAGAAGGCTAGCTATACAAGCTTTGTTCAGTTAAAGCTTCAGCTTTTCAGCCAAAGCCTATTGTTGAATATCCTAAAGCAGTAAAGTATTAAAAACAAAACAAGATCTTGAAAGCAGTCTACTGGTTGACTTTTCACATCCCCTAAGACCCGGCAGGTCAAAATGCAGAGGAAATAAGACTCAATCTTTAAAGAGTGACTAGGCACCCATTCAAGTATTCCTACCCTGTCCATATAACTACAAGAATTTACCTTAGCTAAACAGATCCCCAGAAGTGCCCAAAGGGGAAAAAAGCCTTTCAAATACATTTCAGTTCAGCAAAGTATTACTGCAAGGGGCACTCAAGTTTCATTCAGAAATTATAATAAAATATTTTGGTGGGGGGAGGAGAGAGGAATTCACTGGAAACATATTCTTACCATTCTCACTGGGCTCTGTCGGCTTGGACACTTCTCTGAACGGCATTATAACTGCATCTCCAGGCACTCTGGGGCTTTCCACATACTTGGGCTTCCTGACGGGACCTGCAGTGGGAAAGATCTGAGTGTGGCTAATTTTTTCCAGATGCAAACAAAGCTTCGGAATGTACAGTGTGTGTCCTTAACAGGACCCAAATATGCCTAAAGGACGAGCCAGTCCCTTCCCCTCCCTCGAACACACACACGAACACACAGAGTCATTTCAGTGCAGACACGGGAATGTCCAATCTAGGCTGCCAAAGAAGAAAAGGGTAAGCTCAGATTTGAGAATGTAAACTCTTACAAAAACAAAAGCTGCTCTTTTGCAGTAAAGTCTCTACAGCTGTCTTCGTTGCATGTCAAGTAGGAGATTTTGACATGTTCAAACCTGGGCAGCTTGTGGCAAAGATTTTTTTTAAATATAATTTCCCTCTAACTAGGACAAAGACAATTTGGTTGCTTGATCTCCAAAGTCAGGAGGCGAGGATTACAAACTGCCAGCCTATAACACCGACACACTCTGAGCAGCCCCAGGACGCAGGCATCTTATCTGGCTGGTGACGCACGGTAACTGTGCGGGGCACAGAAGATGACTGCTTTCCTGGCAGCTGACATAGCTGACTTCAAAAGGGCACAGCAGACAGCTTGGCGTGTGATTCAGAAACACGAGAGAGATGGAGTCTTATCTCCCACCTCCCCCCCCCCCACAATCCCAATTTATCATCAGAAAATCTGGAATTCTTAGTAAGACTGGATGGAACCTCACACATGGCTGCAGGGATGGACAACGGTGCAGTTACTTTGAAAAACAATCTGGCAGTTGCTCAAAAGGACAAATAGAGTTACCATATGGCCCAGCAATTCCACTCCTATATGGATTTATGTTCACACAAAAACTTTGTACACAAATGTCCACAGTAGCATCATTTGTAACAGCTAAAGATTCATCAATTGATGACAACAAATGTGGTATGTCCATACAATGGAATACTGCAGGGCAATAAAAAAGAAGGACGCTCTGACTCATGTTAGACCATGAATTAAACCTGAAAACATGCTAAGTGAAAGAAGTCAGTCACCAAAGATGACATACCATATGATTCCAATTATATGTAATGTCCAGAATTGGCAAAATTTTCAGGAAGCATGAATGGCTGCCAGGGGCTGAGGGCTATGCATGTTTGTGGGGTAATGGCTAAGGGACAAAGGACTTCTTTTTGGGGTGATAAACTGTTCTAAAATTAGGCTGTAGTGATGGTTGTACAACTGTGTGAATATAGAAAAAACCACTCTATATTTAAGTGGATAAGCTTTAAGTGGATAAGCTGTATGGATGTGAATTATATTTAAATAAAGCAGTTAATTCTGTCTGCTCCTTTCAAACACATAATATTTTTGGCCCCAAATCACCCACTTGACTCTTGTTTTCCTTGGTTGCTTATACTTAAAATGCCTTTTAACAAGGACACAACACTTTCTATCAGTAAGAGAAGGGTGAAGGAGTCTACAACCCTTCCCTCTGTTCAGTCCTGAGCCATAGCCCTGGCCATCCTGGGGATCCAGCTCTGTCATCACACAATGAAAGGGTGATACAAGTAGAGCATCCTTCTGTCTCAAACATCTTACACATCTGAGAAATTCTGTTCAAAAGGTGGTATACAGTGACAGATGCTGCCATCTAAAGGCTTACTACAAAAGCATCTACACTACTATAAAAATAATCCAATTCCTAGCCAGTTATAATGGACGCACAGCATCTTAGATGTATCAAAGAAGCATATAGTTCTTCACAAATAAGGGCGTTATTTCAAACTTTAGAAACCATGTGTTTTAAAATGACTACCATAGTATTTAATCACATGGCTGTCTTCATAATTTATTTAACGCTGTCAGGGAATTTTTTAAAAGGTTAAAAGAAAATGGTGATGGGGGAGGAGAAAATATATCTAAAATCTAAGTAGGGGATGTAGGCTATATAACAGTATTCAGAGTTTATCTAAAACATACAGGGCAACCCCTTGGGTTCCCTCCTGCTCAGGGAGCTTTTCTGTCCTCTCAACAAATCCCACTTTCAAAAAACAACAACAACAACAACATATATCCACATGTAAATAAACATAGGGGAAAAAGACTGGGGGGGGGGGGAGCAGTTTAAAATATTTGCTGTGAAAGAGACAGAAACTAGAAAGAAGGACCTGAACAGGACAGACAGAAATGGAACCAGGATACATACAAGAGCCTACACTTTTGGTTCCCCATCTACTCCCTAAGGAAAAATAGACCATGGGCATCTTTTCCTCCATCCACTCTCTTCCTTTAGGACTTAGGGGAGGTCAAGGTTTTGATTCTTGTTTGATCATCCGCAGCTGCCCAACCAGTAGCCACAGCCACAGCTCAACTTAACTCTTCAGGGCACAGTAACAGCAACTCTAAAGAGATCTATTTTCAAGCCGGGCTCAGTGGCTCAGCCTGTAATCCCAGCACTTTGGGAGGCTGAGGTGAGTGGATTGCCTGAGCCCACGGGTTCGAGACCTCTGGCCAACTTGGCGAGACCTCATCTCTACAATAAATCAAAAAAAAATTAGCTGGGCGTGGTAGCGCTCGCCTGTAGTTCCAGCTACTTGGAAGACTGAGGCAGAAGGATCGCCGGAGGCCAGCAGGTCGAGACTGCGGTGGCCAGGAACGGCCACTGCACTCCAGTCTGGGTGACAGAGTAAGATTCCAACTCAAAAAACAAAAACAAAGAGATCTATTTTCTCAAACCTGTGATCCCAGCACTTTGGATTATCTAAACCCACGCATTTGAGACCAGCCTGGGCAATTTGGTGAGACCTCATCTCTACAATAAATCAAAAAATTAGCATGTAGTTCTGGCTACTTGGAAGGCTGAGGCAGAAGGATCGCTTGAGCCCAGCAGGTCGTGGGTGGCGCGGCCGTGAGCATGCCACTACACTGCAGTCTAGGCGACAAAGTGAGACTCCAACTCAAAAAATATAATAATAATCTATTTCCAGGCTCCAATTTACCTATCAATAAAGTCTTTCAAAACTATTCTCTAAGAGTAACTACTTTCTTAAAATGTGGGCTATTTCAGATGAATGTACAATTATGGATGATTGGACCCTGGAACCAATGTCACCCAGAGCCCTCAGAAAGCATCAGTGCCTGCCTATTCAACTATCTATAACTGTTCTATTCAGAGGCAACTCATAACTACAAGAAGTACTCAACACCAAGGAGTCAGGATGTTAAGAGAAGAGACTCATGAGTCAGGCAGACCCAGGTTCAAATACCATGTCCCATCCTCATCTTTCCCTAGTTTAGGCCTAGTGTCCCAGAGCTAAAAGATGGGCGAGTGAGCCTCCTGCTACTAGGGGAAAATCCCCAAGAGCAGAGACCAGGCCAATCTGGTTCCTAGACACAGTAAATCACTAACAACAGATACAAAGGGAGACTTAGGAGATGCCAAAGTAGGTAAAACACCTGGCCGGGCTTAGTGGCTCATGCCTATAATCCCAGCACTTTGGGAGGCCAAGGCAGGAGAATTGCTAGAGCCCAGATTCAAGACCAGCCTAGGTAACATAGTGAAACCTTGTCTACACACACACACACACACACACACACACACACACACACACACACAAAGACAAAAATTAGCCAGGCATGGTGGCACACATATGTAGTCCCAGTTACTCAGGAGCTTGAGTCCAGGAGGTCCCCTGTCCCCATTTTTAAAAAATGTATTCAGTTGCACAAGGCTAAGCATTTCTATGCTTTAATTCATTCATTCCTAATAACTTTGGGAGAAAAGCAAAATGGAAAACTGAGGTTCAAATAAGTTAAACAATTTGCTCATGGCCCACATACGGCAAAGCAAGAAATAATTCAAACCTTGGTCTCTGTAATTTTGAAGACCATTACTGAATCACCACTTGGCACTTAAAATTAACTATGAAACCTGGACTAAGCATGCAATTTTAGAAAAAGCCAGGGCACTGAGATCTTCTACAAGTCAGTCATCCATGGACCTTGGTTTCAGAGGCAGCAAATCCTACTTGTCTCTGACCGCCCCCCCAACTTTTACTAGGAGTTGAAATATTATGAAGTGAGCATAAACAACTGCTCTCCAACATGATCCTTTTATTTAAACTGCATTTCACAAAGAGCAGAACCTCAATTGCCGTAAAACAAGATAAATTTATAGCCACAGAGGTTTTATTCCTTCCCCCTCAATCACTCATTAGAGAAACTGTGCATACTTTGAATCACATGAAGCAGATGATACTCATTTGCCTCTGCTCTCTCTCAAAACACCATTAAAGTTGCAGTAAAAGGATTCAAGAGGGACTGATGGGAAAAGAAACCAAGCTCCTGAAAGTGGAAAACAGATTGTCCAAGAGCAGTGGCTTGAGCAGAGCAGAAAAGGTTAGTCCTGGGGCGGACGTGATAAGGGCTCAGCCCAGGCCAGGGCCATAGGGAAAGCAGGCCCCTTTGAAGGCAGGGGCACACGTGAGACCCAGCATAGCATGGCCAGTTGAAAGCCTACTTAAGGAAGAGTGAGAGCCTACACCAACCCCCCCACCCCACCCCACCAATTTCTTCTTATTCCTAGAGGATTCCCACCCTCATCCTGGAGACTTGAGTTTATTCCCTGAAAAGGCTGAATTCCAAGACCGTGAAGATCCATAAGCTAAACTCATGGGTGCTTTTTTCTGTTTGTTTTTTTAAAAAACTTTCAAGTGCTAAATTTAAAAACAAAAAAGCCAGAATTATGAAAAATTCTTCATGGAGACTGATGGGCCCTAGAGGCATCCCCCAGATTCAGCTATGAGGACTGAGAGCCAAGCTTGTATGCAGGGAGGCTAGAGGACACTGGAGGATTCCTTTGTGGGAAAACTCATCAAGAAAAAAGACCTATAAATAACCATAGTTCCATAGTTGGGGAAATCCCAAAGAAACAGGGGATCCCTGCCTGATTACGCTGCAGCACAGCCTGCCTTCACCCCTTTCAGTCAGCTTTTGAGCATCTCTACTTCTATACAATGAAGCGCCAAGGGTCCCTAGAC